GCATGTGTATGTAACTTACAAAAAATAAAAGGAAATTTAAACTTAAAGGATACATGTTCATTATAAAGAAAACTCTAGAAAAGAGAATTTAGAAATGTATGCAATGATAGTTGGGCATGGTGACACAGGCCTGCCATCTCAGCTCTTGGGAGGCTGAGGCAGGAAGATCACTGTGAGTTGGAGGCCAGCCTGAGCTACATAGCAAGACCCTGTTTCAAAAAAATAAATAAATAAAATTTAAAATAAAAATAAAGAAGTATACACAATGGCTACATTGGCACTGGGTGCGTGGGATGGAGGAGGGACAGGGCACAGTGGCGCCAAAGTGGGAGCATCAACAGGACAAAGGGGTGTTTATGGGAATTAAAGCGAGCACCCTGCCCCGGGGTGTGAAAGGGGGGTCCTGGATGAGGGAGACAGAAGCTCAGCAGGGCTGGGGAGCAGCTCAGTGGTGAGGCACTTCCTCCCAAGTGTGAGGCCCTGGGTTCCAGAATCCCAGCACTGCAAAACAGAAACAAGCAAAATAACAAAAAGAAGAAAGTTGTCAGTTCATCCAGCCAACCACGGAAAGGAGAGGGGAACACAGCAGGTTGTAGCAAGGTGGTCGGAGCCCCTTGTTCATAGCCAGGGGCTCCTGCTTGGCTCCTCTGGGGCCACAGGCACCTGTGGTCCCTCTGCCTCCCTGCCCTAAGTGCCCCCTTAGCCACGCCCACCGGGGAGATACACAGTCACCAGGTTGCCTGGACCGTGTAGAGAGGAGACAGCGCCTCACCAGACAGGCTGAGGTTCAAGGCCACCAGATGAAGGCACATGTAGCTCAGGCCTGGTGGGTGAGCAGGAATCACCAGGAGATGGAGAAGGGCACAGCAGGAGCAGGACCAGGCAGGAGAACAGGAGGGCGGGCAGGGCGACAGACACCCTGTGTGGCAGAGGTGGACAGGAAGTCACGCGGGAACTTGTAGGCAAGCTAGGATGAGGTGGCCTCTTCGCTGACAAGCATTCAGGGGCAGCAAGGGGTCAGGCAGAGAGTGACAGCCCAGACGGGTACTCTAGGAAGATCACTAGCTGGGCTACAGGTGGGAAGGACTGACCGGACGGACTGCCAGACAGGAAGTGAGGGTGATCTAAGGGGCGGAGTAGCCTCTGGGGAGGGATCTGGCCTGAGGGGTGGAAAAGAACGCTCCAGGTTGGCTGGACCCAGGGGCAGGGTGCTCAGTGGGAGACCAGGAATGGCAGGCAGGAGGGTCACCTGCTGAGTGTCAGGGTGGTGGCCACTGGGGACCCCATTGGAGGAGTCAGGCCGGCAGCTGGTTGGGGTCTGGAGCTCCAGGATTGGGCTGAGAGTGTCCATGTAGAGAGAGATGGCCCCATATGACCTGAGGGACCTCACTAACCAGGGCGCCTTGGCAGAGGGAGTGGAGACAGCCTGGCTGAGGGACATCAGCTTCTACAGTTCAGCCTGCCATGCTTGGGTGGGGGTGGGGAGGCAGAATGGCCACTGTAGCCCTGGCCTGGCCCGGTGGCCAGTGGGGCTGATTGCCCCCCACAGCTGGAAGTAGCTCGCAGCAGCTCAGCTTGACCACAGGGCATCACATTGGTCTCTGGATTCCTGGGAACAGCCGCAACCTCTAGCTGGGAGCCCAAAGGTTCCCACAGATTAGGTCACCATTGCCACCCCTACTCAGGTCTCACCCATTCCAGAAAGCCGTCTCTGTATCCTGGCCCTGCTCCATTTAAAAATCTGTAGGAAGGCAGAGCTGATGGTGTGCACCTGTAATCCCAGAAGTCGAGGAGGCTGAGGCAGGAGGATTACAAGTTTGAGCCCAGCCTGGGCAACTTGGACTTGATGAGATCTGTCTCAAAACAAAATGTAAGAGCTGAGGATGTAGCTCAGTGGGAAGGCCTTGGATTCAATCCACAGTACCACCAAATAAATAAATAAATAAAATGTAAAATCTGTGGGTGCCGTTACCAGTAGCTGTCCTCAGGAAATTTACAGAGTGGGTGGTGGCAGTGATTCTCCCTTTGATTCAGTTTTCCCCAGAGATGACACCAGTGTGGCCTTGGTCGGGAAGGAAATTCCACACCAAGGAACAAGCCCAGCTGGACCTAGGACCCACGCAGAGCAGGTGGGGATGAAAGAACCCTGGCCTGGCTTGCCCAACCCCACCTTTCTTTCAGTGCCACCTTTCCTGGGACCCAGACCTCTGAGCCCAGGCTTGGAGCTGAGCCCAGATGGGGACTGACTTCAAGATTTCCAAGGAAAGGGCTGGAAAGACCAGGCACACTCTGCCTGCTCATGCAAGTGCTTAAGACAACCAGCGGGGGCCTGGCATGCTGCGTGCGAAGGGCTTGACCCTGTCTTGGTGTCCTCACTGCCCCTGGGGGATGCCGGCACGGGTCACATGGTCACATCTGCTAAGAGGGCCCAAGAGCGCAGAGAGGAGACTTGTGGCCAGCAGGGCAGGAGGCTGGAGAGTAGGGTGGGGAGTCAGGGAAGCGATACAGGATGGAGGGCCCAGGCCCTAAGAGCCTTCGGACCACAGGGAGGAGTCCGCACTTTCCTCCAGGTCCTGGAGCAGCTGTTCCGGGGCTGAGCTGGGGAGGAGGGACCCATGCGGAATGACACATCAGAAGCCACTGCTCAGCGCCCCTTCTGAGGAGAGCCCATCTTGAGAGATGCAGGAAGTGGGGGCCATGGCCAGGATAGTGGCAGAGCCCCCGTATAGGAGGGGTGAGGTTAGTGCTAGAAGAGTGGCCTGGGAGGTGAAGGGAGATTGGAAAGGTCAGAGAGGGCTCCAGAGACCACACCGACAGAGTCACCAAATGTTAACAGGGACGGTCCTGCAGCCGGAACAGACCGCTGGTCCGATGGATCGATCAGCAGCGGCTGCTCTGAAGGGAGGCTGCCCGGTGTCCAGGCCCCAGGAGAGGCAGCGGCCCTGGGAGGCTGTGTGTGGCTCAGGTTTCCAGGAAGAAGGTGGACTAGGCAAGGTCAGGAGGGAACCTCCTGCCCCCTCTTTCCTTTTCCTCCTTCATCTTTTCCTTCCTCCTCCTTCCCTCCCCACCCTGGGCGTCCATGGGCCTGGAGGGGCCCGGAGCCTCCCTGCACCTCCCAGCCAGGGCCCAAGAGCAGGAGGAGGAAGAGGCAGGGTCTTAGGCAAGGGGTGACTCCCAAGGGCCTCCTTGACCAGTCCTTCCCCTGAGCTCCTTCCTGGTCGCCCTCCCCAGCCTCCTGAGAGGGTGGAGCAGGAGCCAGCAGCCTCGTTTATAGCAAGAAACTGAGGCCCAAGGCAGCTCATGTCCCAGCCCTGCTTCTGGTCTGTGAACAGACCCCCCTCACAGGTCTCAGGAGGGTGAAAGGCGTTGTCTGGAGATGAGGTTGGTGGCCAGGGCAGGACTTGTCAGTGACTCAGAATTTGCTCTCAACCCTCTCTGTGTCCAAGCCTGATAACGGGTCATTCTGCAGAAGGCCTCGGCTTAGAAGCCCCCCAAACAGGAATAAGAGTAATGACACCCAGGAGTTTAAGCAGACGTGTTCCTGGGCTAGAGGCATGGGAGCCAGGGGTCAAGGGCACCCGTCTAACCCCACCCGGCACCTCCCATCCTGCCCTGTTAGCTCCATCCCCTGTCCCTCCCTAAAGGTACCTCAGCCACCCTGTAGTCGCAGGCAGTGGGATGGACGGGACTCCTCTTGTCCAGGCCTGATGGGCCCGCTCCAACCTCCGGACTGAGAGGAGGGTAGGCACTGAGACAGTTCTGTCACCCACATCTGCTGGGCACGTGCTGAGCACCTGGTGCCTTCAGGGTGCCCTCCCCAGCTCTGCCCCAGGCGCATCCAGAGTGGGAGGGGGCCTGTCCCGGCTCTGCCACGCTGCTGTATACCCAAGCAGGTGGTGTCTGTCCTCCGGCCGGGAGGGCTTCCTGGAGGAATGGGCTTCACGGGCACACGGTGTGCATGGTGTGAAAGCCTGCCCTATGCTGCCTCCATACCCTGGATTAGGTCCTGGAGAGACGTGGCACCCACCCTTGAGGACACAGACCAGTACATAAGTGGACATATGTGGAGCTGGGGCCTTGAATGCCGTGCACAGAAATCTGCCTGCCCTTAGCAGGGAACCTTGGAGGGTTTTGAATTGGGGCAGAAGGGATGATAGTGTTTATGACTATTTGCCTAAGAGTGGGGTGGTGCACTGTGGGAGACTGAGGCATGCAGGCGAGTGGGGAAGTCTGGGAGGGTGGAGGCAGGAGCTGGAGCAGGACTCTACCGTGAGGACACAGGATATGCTGGGGTCCTGGCCAGAGCAGAGGATATCTGGGGACACCTCTAGGTCAGATGTCCAGGGGTCCTGTGGCTCCTTGACTCTGGCTGTGTCCCAGGGGCTCTTTGGGTGCCACTGGCCTCCTAGTGAGCTGCTAGTCCGCACTTACTTAGTGCTGAGTCCTTGTGGCCTGTCCTGGCCACCCCAAGGGCTGTTCCCCTCACCTTAGTGACTATACCCTCCCGCCACCTTTGGGAGACCCTGGCCCTTGCTTGGGCTACAGGTGGGAGGAGGCCTAAAGAGCTCCTTCCCTGGCTGGGAAGAACTCTGTGAAAAGCACTCCAAAACAGGAAGTTCATTACCACCCGGCACACTTCCTGCCCTGCTCTGGGAGTCCCAGCACTGGCTTGGCCTTGTCCTGGTGCCTCCTGTATCCATCCACCCTTCCTTCCTGGGTCCTGCAGGACAGACAGAACCCTGCCTGGGGAAGGAGGCTGCTTGGACCCAACCCGCTCACTTGGCACCATCTCTGCTTGCTGTGGGCCCGCAGAAGTCTCCCCAGTGCTGGGGGCTGAGCACGGCTGTGTGGTGGCGTTTCCATTCTCAGGGAATTTTGCAAGCCCACCCTCCATCTTCTACCTGCCATGCTGAGTGTGACACTGGCCCTTTAAAGCTGATTAGGGGCTGGCTTTGGGGGGAAACAGCCCAGATTTCTGCCATCTGCTGGCAGGCCTGGGCCAGGGAGGGGGTCACCGCAGCCCCCAACGGGCATTGGAAGGGCAGGTGGAGCCAGTGGCATTGATTGCAGTAACCTGATCCCGAGGGGGAGGTGGCGACATCAGCAGCGGCAGCGGCACAGTGGCAGCAGCGAGGAAGCGCCCTGCAGCTGAGGGCTGGGCGGCAGCGCTGGGGCCAGCGTGGTGGGCAGCTGCTGCCTCTTCTCCCGGCCCATCCATTTTTAATGAGCTCCCCAGGAATCTGCATCGGGCAGGACGCAGACAGGCTGGCCCAGGCAGTGGAGGCTGGAGGCCACAGCCCTGCCTCGCTTGAGCCCTGGCCCCCCACCCCATTGGGCATGAGAGGCCAGCCCTGGGGCCCCGCAGCCCCCAGGCCGGGCCGGGCGCTCCATGCAGCTGGCACTGAAGATGGATTCGAGCCCAGACAATGACAGCTGGTTGGAGGACCGGTGGGAGCGCTGGTAGGGGCTGGGGGCTGGCTGGGGGCTGTGGGAGGAGTCGGGGCTCTCCCTTGAACCCGGGTCCCTCTTTGGTGTGACTGAGGTGAGACGGGTCTGGCCATCTGGGGCCTGGGGCTCTCCCTCTCCTGGGTGACCTTGGAGGATGTCTCTGTTCCCTGGTTGTCTTTGGGCAAGGGTTCTGATGTTCTCCCCAACTTCCTCAGTGTGAGAGCCAGAGCCTGGGCCTGCACTCTGAGCTGGGTGCAGAGCCGGCCCAGGGCTTCTTGGGATGGTTAGGGCTCCTCCAGCCCCAGCCCGGAACCTTCCTGACCCCATCTGTGCAGCCTCCTGCTCCCAGTCCTGTCTCTGGACAAGACTGTGGTTGAAGGGATGAAACCAAGAACATGAAAGGAGACACCGTTCTCCTGGAATGGGTGGAAATTCCCACATGGACAGCAGACGTCCTTTCATTTGGGCCCAGGCCTTGCGGGTGGGATGGAGGCCATGGGGCAGCCCTCCGAGGCTGCTGGGTCCTCTGCCAGCACTTTGGGTCTTGCTACTGTGAACTACACTGGGCCCCCCAGGTCCAGGCACCCCTTGGAGTCTCAACTCTGCATCCTCCAAGGATGAACAGGCCTCAGTGCCCGCCCAGAGCCTGGGTGGCATTTCTCTGGCAGAGCCAAGGATCTGACCAGTCAGGCCTTCCAGGCACTGCCTCTAGCATGGCAGCAGGATGGGACAACTCCACGCTGGGAGGAGCTGGAGGACCTGGGGCTACAACCCGGGAGGACTGCCTTTGGGCACAAGCTAAATTCTTTCCCTGTCACTGGTGCAGATGGACAGAACCCTGTCCTCTGAGAGGTGCAGTGACCTGTCTTCCCAAGGCTGCCCTTGGGAGAAGTGACAGGGAGGCACCAGTGGGCTTAGCAGTGGCCCTGCGGTAAGGCTCTGGCTTTGTCCCCACCAGGCTCACCCATGACATCAGCTTGGAAGAGTTTGAGGATGAAGACCTCTCAGAGATCACCGATGAGTGTGGCATCAGCCTGCAGTGCAAAGACACCCTGTCCCTGCGGGTAAGCACTGGCTCCTGGGAGTCGCCGTGTGGGGTGGCAGGATGGGTAGGGACGGGAGTGAGGGTGTCCCCATCATTATGTTAGCTTTTCAGATCAGCACAGCACCTTCAGGAGGTGAAGTGACAGGTGGGAAACACCCAGTGTGATGCTTGGCATCTCTCGGGGACTCAATCAGAATTTATTTTTCTAAACTTAGGTTTATTTCTTTGCCAGGGCTAAGGCAGAAAGCAGCTCCTTCAGTCACCCACAAGCAGAGAGAGCAGGAGGTCTTGAGGTCCAGGCCAGTGGCAGGGAGGCCCAGAGACAAGGGCAGAGCAGCCCTGGCTGAGAGCCACAGGCGGCGCAGGGTGGGGTCTGGCAGAATCTGCAGGAGGGAAGAAGAGCCAAGTAACTCCCAGGCGCAGCTGGCCGGCACCACTGCGCCAAGCCGCCATCCCCACAAGCCTCCCCAGCCCTCTCTGACCCCAGTTCTGCTGCTACCTTGGCCCCTCGGCTTTGTCCCTCCCTCCCCGAAGATCCGAATGCTTCCAGGAGGCCCTCAGCAGCTGGGGAGCCCAGGTCAGATGGGAGCCCCCCGCCCCGGCATCTTTTCAGAACTGGAAGCAAGGAAGCCAGGGGAGGAAAGGGAAATCTAGGGGCTAGGGTTTAGTGGGAGGGTCGGTAGGGAGGTATGGAGTAGGGGAGCGGTAGTGAAAGTTGGGGGGTGCCGGCTCTGTGTTGAACCTTTGGCACCCTCAGAGCTTCTGGAAGCTCTGCCCAGCAAGAGAAAGCCAAGGGTTGACAATAATCTTCCACCCTCTTGGCCAGACCAGGGGGCTATGGAGGTGTAGGCTACTTACTCTGGTTTCAGGGCTCTGGCGTGGCTTCTCTGGGGTCATACACCTGTTCTGGACTCTGGCACCCCATGTTCCCCATTCTGCGCAAGCAAAGCCCCAAGGAGGGCCCTGAGGTAGTGCTAGCTAGGAATGCGAGTCCATGGAGCCTTGGGCAAGCTCCGAGGGGCATTCACTCGGCCAGGTCAGTGTCCTCACCCCTCGGGGAAGGTGGGAAGCAGAGGTGATCGACCTGCGGCGGCGGCGGCCAGAGAGGGAAGGGTCCGAGGATCTGTCCAAGGTGCCGGCACTTAAAGCTGGAGCCAGCACGGGGCTTGGGACTAAAGGCAGGGTTAGCTGAGGGAGGTCTCCGTGGGCTGAGGAGAGACGGGAGGGCGAGGATGCTGCGGCCTGGGTGCCGCTCGCTTGCGGTCCCCCACCCCCCGCGTCCCTCTTCCGGTTGTCAACCCTCCCGTCCCCACTACGTCGCTCCCACGGTCTTCCTCGCCTGGCTGAGACTCAGTTTTCTCTATTTTCCTCACGCTCTCCTTCAGACACCAATCGTAACCCCCACCCCCATCTCTTGTGGGGCCCGAACGCCTTGGCGACCCCTACGTCCCCATGGCAACAGGGGTGATTTCACTCTGGGCTCGGCTTACCACCCGGGTGAGGTCACTGGCCGTTACCAAGGGAACGGGAGAGTGCAAGGAGTGACGGGGGCCCGTGGTGGGGACAGGAGCGCTGTGGGCCGTCCAAGGCGCCGGCTAGGGAGGGGGGCGGTCTCGGCCTCCTCACCGGGGGCGGGCAGAGTGCTATCCTCTCCCCGGCCCCTGCGCGGCTCCCTCTCATCACCCCCTCACTCTGC